CGTGGTCCGGGCGCCGGGGCTCTGCGCCGCGCCTCCCCGCGCCAGCCGAGCCGCGCGCCCGCCTCGCCCCCGCTGCCCGCGCCCGGCGGAGGTGCCGGGGCACCGGGCAGCAGGCCTCGGCTCGCGAACTCCAGCGACCCGCCGCTCCCGGCGCCGGCGCCGTCCGAGGGGCACCGCCGCGCCGCGCACATGGAGAAGCGGGGGAAGAGGGTCGACTGCCCGGCGCTGCCCCCAGGCTGGAAGAAGGAGGAGGTGATCCGCAAGTCGGGACTCAGCGCGGGCAAGAGCGATGTGTACTATTTCAGGTGAGCCCCGACGACGACGGCGGCGGCGGGCAAGGTGGGCGCGCAGTCGGGCTGCTGGCGAAGGGCCAGCGGCGGGGGTGGGTACAGGGACCCCCCCTCTGGCGCCTCTCCTGCCTCCATCGGAAGTCGGACCCACGGAGCTGCGAGGCAGGGCGTCACCCCGGAGGCTGCCCAGGAATCAGAGCGGCGAGTGGAGCAGCAATTGTGCCTCTGAGCATGTGCAGAGTGGCGTTTCTTCCGGGTGGTCAGGAGTCCCCCACGGGCGCGTGGGCGTGAAGGCTGAGGCAGGAAGCAGAAGGTTCAAGCTGCTCGGCAGTGGCTTCAGCCTCCTGGTTTTGCTAGGGGCTTCTGTGTCTGGGTTTTCCGAGGGCTGGTTTCTGCAGGGCGGAGAGCTGTAACTTCCAGGAAAACTAGCAACTTGTCATCTCTAATTTTAGAAATAAAGGACAGCCTCTTCTTCAACTCGTAGTGGCAGGGCTCAAGGGGATGGGGCCCCTCCATGGTTCGTTGTAAACGAGCGTAGGAGCTCTCTGCCACTGGACTTTGCTATGCCAACTTTGAACCATTCCAGTGGGGTGCATTTTATTTGCTCTCCTCCTTTCTCATCGGGTTCATCTCCCTTTTTTCACGTGGAAGCAGCCGCCCTCTTCCTCCTTCCACACCCACGGCAAGGAGTGGCTGACTGGCAGATCCAGCCCAGGCCCAGAATCCATTTTATCTGACCTCTGGTGGTGGCCCTACCATGTTATATATTTATTTCCCTGGTATCTCAGCTTCTCTGTGGAGCGCAGAGCAGCTGTTTACCCTCCTGACAAACTCTGTGGAGGTGTGATAAAACTCCAGCGCGCTGCTTTGCTGGCGAGGCGGAGAAAACTAGAATTCTGAAAGTTCTGCCCAGGAGAAACAGGCCGGCGTTTAAGGTGTTGAATGGCCCTCTCTGGGCCTTCGCACATCATGCGCTCTGAGTGCAGGTGTTTCACAGTGGCCAGGCAGCTGCTAGTCCCTCAGAAAAGGCTTTGCTTGTTTGGCAGTCCCTGTTTCTGGCCTTCAGATGACCGGGCCCCTGGAATCAGCAAAAGCTGCCAGTTCTTGCCCTACTGACGGAACTTGGGTGCCTCCATATGGGGACACGGAGTGAGGTCTGTGATACATCCCTGCCGCTGCGTGTCCTCCTCTGGTGCTCAGGAAGGCATCCCTTGTCCTTCCTCTGCTTCTTACACTTTCTTCTCCTACAGTGTCATGGGAGGGGAGAAGGAGCTGTCCCCCTCGGTTGCTTTCATCATCCTCTGTTTGCTCTGCCGCTCCCTCTGGGCCTGATGGACTGTAATATCTCTCTTAGAACTGGAACCTGGCGTGTGACGCTGATGGGTGGAGAGTGAGGGCGGACAAACCGGAGTTCTCCTCCATCCAGCAATTGTTCAGTTATGGAATTCACTCCTGCAAGATGCTGTGAGGGTCACCCATTTGGATGGCTTTCAAAGCGCACACTTCCCCGGGAGGGGAAGGCTTCCGTGGCTGCCAGTCCTGGTGGCTGCAGGCTGGGGAATTTGGGTGGGAAGGTGCTGCTGCAGTCATGTCCTGCTTGTGGGTTTCCTGTGGGTGGTTTGGCTGCTGTACGAACAGTTGTACTCCCAGCACATCAGAGAAGCACCTGGCTGGAGGAGGCTGCTTTAGAAGGAGACTCTCTGGAGACCGGAAGGTGCTGTTGCTGCTTCTCCTTGCTCCTTCTTAGAGAGGAGAGGAGAACAGATGCCAGCTGGAGGGCGGGATGTCCTGGTGTCATGCAGGGAGTGCCGTTGTTGGCGTGAGCCTTGGAAGGTGCCTGACATTGCTGACCCTCTCTCTATGTTGCTATTGTATAGTGGAAGGCGTTCCCCAACCTGATGCCCTGGAGGAGTCATTTATTTATTTAATTTGTACCCCGCCTTTTCCTTTCCAAGGAACTCAAGGCAGCTTCCCTCATTCTCCTCCTCCCTCAGTCTTACCCTCACAACAACAACCCTGTGAGGTAGGTTGGGCTGAGAGTCTGTAAGTGGCCGAAAGCCGTCCAGTGAACTCCATGGATGAATGAGGACTAGAACCGAGGTCACCTGAACCCCAGTCCTACACTTTTAACCTCCATACTACACTGGATTTTGAAGTATAACTCTCAGAATTCCTGACCATTGCCCATACTGGCTGAGGCTGATGGAAGTCGAAGCTGAAACCATTGGGGGTAGGTGGGCTCCAGACTGGGGGAAGAGCTGTTATGATCACCTAGTCCTCATTACCAGTGAGGATCAAGGTTCTCTTGCTGATATCCTGTCTGTATACCATTAGAAACAGAGCGAGCCAGAAGGGGGCTCCCGGGCCATCTAGTCTGACCCCTGGCTCCAGCTGGCTCTGCTCACGACGTGCCCACCATGTGCATGTCCAGCCTGTCCTTGGACACCCTCACCGATGGGACCATTACTGCTCTTGTTTCCCAAGAGGGCAGGCAACCCATATGCCAAGCCAAAATGCATCTTGCTTGCCTCCTCCGCAGTCCCAAGATATCACCCCTAACCTTTCAAGCTTACACTTCCCACTTTTGGTTGGCAAGTTGCACTTGAAACTCCCCTCCATGGGTTTTGAGAGCCAGGTAGCCTGGCATGCTGAGTTCAGAACGTAAGACAACTCATGTGCAAGGGCTAAGCATGGGTCGAATGCTGTTGTCCAAATGTGGCTTAGGTTGTCTGAACCCAATTGAGGTGACAAACTATGATGAACAATCCACCATCCAGTAGCAAACCGTGCCTCTCTTTTTGGGTTGTTCATGGTTCACAAGACATGGCTTGTCAGCACTGCTGAAGTCAGACAGCGTGAGAACTCACATTTCCGCCACAAACCATGGTTCAACAACAGTCCTTGAATTTGGGTTATTAGGTTGTCTGAACATGCACTTTCTTCTGGAAGGACACATATGTGCTCATGTGCTGTTTCTCTTTACTCCTGAGGGATTGGAGGCAAGTTTTTGCTCACTGTTTAATGCCTGCAGGGAAAATGCTCAGGACTGGAGCAGGTCGCTCCCCTGGGTTTGATCACTAGACTTTCCCATTTCCCATCTCCCTCCTCTGCTCATCTTTTCCCAGGTGGTAGAGTGGCCAGTCCACACACCCCTTCTTATTTCTGCCAGCACAGCACATTTCCTGGCTACTGGTATAGGTATTAGAAAGTGTTTTGCAAGCTGTATGTGGACATTTAAAATTGGCATTGATACATAATCTCTGTGAATTTAAAGGACAAGCTGGACTTGCACCTGATTCCAGGTATTGGATGCTCCAATTAGGAGTGGAGGAAGAGTTAGCAAGAAGGGGAATCACAAACCATGTTTGCTGCTGTTGTTCTCATTCTACCTCCCCGAACCTGGCTTTGTCCCACTACGGGGGAAATATACAGTGAACCAATTCCCCCCCTGGGGGGTGGTGTCAGTTGGGGCACCTGCTAGGCACATAATATTAAAAACAACGTCCCCAAGCTTGGTGCTTTCCGGATGTTTAGGACTTCAATTCCCAGTGTTCTGCATCATTGGCCATGCTGGCTGGGGCTGATGGAAGCAGAAGACTTCTGGAAAGCACCAGTTTGGGGGAGGCTGGTTTAGAGGAGGAGCGACGGGCAGCAATAGGGTTAAATCCCCCCACATATTTTCCTCTTCACTTAATTGCAGCCTGCAGCCACTTGTTTTCACCAAAACTTTTTCTTCTTAAGGCAAGACTTTGTGGGAAAGTAACTCAGAACTCTGTGTAATATATAGTTTGACCTAAAAATGCTTAGAAGTTGATTAAGTAGAATCTAAACTGATATAAATTATATTCCCTTTTTATAAGAAGGAAATTGTAAGTCACTCTTGTGGACCAGTTCAGGGCTCATACGTGACCCAGGAATAGATACCATATAAGTGAGATAGCAAGAGTGGTTTTTCTGTAGCAGAGCTTAGACATGAATTCATCTTTTTGGGTCTAGTCCACCACTTGCTATCTTTCCGGTCCTACTCCTTAAAACAGGGGAAGGAAACTACTTTTATACTAATTTGTTCCTAATGTTGCAGCCCCCCTCCCCCCTTTTGTAAGTTACCTATTTCTTGGCTTTTGTGGATTTGGGAGTTTGAGTCATGTGTGAATCAGTCTAGTGTACGTATTCCAGAACTAATCGTAACATACCAGACCGATGATGAATGAGACTTGCATTTCATTGTTCTATGACACATACTCCCTAGATTTCATATATATGAGCTTTTTTCCTGCGTATATGGGACAGTGAGAAACACCAGACCACCTTTTAAGAAGGAGATATTTTCAGATCAGGTAGATATTTGGAGGAATTCAAGGAGGCAGGTGGCAGCCTCAGATCCATTTCATTTGAACCCTTCTTCGAATATAGAGAAAGATGTGTTAGAAGCTAGTTTTCTTGCATACGGAAGGACATGCTTCCGTAGATGAGGCTCTAGGGCTTCTACATACTTTTAAGGACATCAGTTGGCCTTGCTTTGTTCCCGCTCAGGATCTGTCCTTATTCAAAACCCAAGAGCCAGTGTGCTGCAGTGTGTTTTGTGTTGGACTGGGACTCTGGAAATCTGGGTTCTACTCTGCGCTCAGTCCTGGAGCTCACTGGGTGATTTTGGGCCAGTCACTCACTGCCAGCCTCAGCTACATCACAGGGTGGTTGTTGTGAAGATCAATGGAACTATGCAAGCCACCTTGGGTTTCTCCCAAGAGGAATCATAGAATCATAGAAGAGTAGAGTTGGAAGGGGCCATGAAGGCCATCAAGTCCAACCCCCTGCTGTTGCAGTTTACACCATCCCACTCAGAGGGCTGTCTGGTTTCTGTTTGAATGTCTCCAGTGTGGGAGACCCACCAGCTCTCCAGGCAGCTGGTTCCACTGTCGTATTGCTCTGACAGTGAGGAAAGTTTTCTGGATAGCTAGACTGATTTGGGTTTGTTGCAATTTGAGCTGATTATTCTGTGTCCTGCACTCTGGCAC